AGCCGGCCAGGGCAGGAGCCTCCCTCCGGAGACCCTGCTTCTCGCCAGTGTAACCTGGTTGGGGCGGCTGCCTGGCTTAGTCAGTAGAGCCTGCGCCTCTTGATCCAGGGGTCCTGAGTGCAAGCCCCAGGCTGGGCGTAGAGGTAACTTAAATGAAGCTGGGTGAGGTTTGGAATTCACTTACTCCAGGGGTGACGACTAGGTGCTCCAGGGTCCAGGGGCTCGTGGGGGTCCCTGGGGTGGAAACAACCCCCTCCGGAGGTTTTTGAAAAGCAGGGGAAGGTGCAGCCTGGGTAAGACCTGAGGAGTGGCCGGGACTTAGGACCCGCTAGCCACCCATGTGCCGGGCCCAGCTGCAGAGGCCCACGGGTGGTCAGGCTCACTTCCGAAGCTGGCAGGCCTCTTTCTTGGGGTTTTCGTCCTCGCCACTTCCCGTGGTCTGGGTGACTGGCCCTCGCCTCGCCCTCCTACAAAGCGCAGGAACTCCTGGCTGGGAGGGGCTTGGGAGACAGGGACCCCCAGCTGTCCAGGAGCAGTGGAGATGTGGCAGTGCCCCCTGCTCCCTGCCGAGGATCTGAGCCCTCCACACCACCTGGAGGGTTATAGTCATCGGGCCGAGACGGCAGATGGGGAAACCGAGGTCAGAGTGGAGAGCAGCACCCCCAAGTCACCCAGCTTGTAAACTGCAGGTCTGAGAACAGAACGCAGGGTCTGGCTCTGGGGACCTTTGGTAAACGCCCTACTCTGCGGCTGTGAACCTAAGAATAGCTCTAAAGCACATGGGGTAGATGGAGGTCCCGCAAATCTGACTGCTCCACGGGGGTGTCCCAGTCTATCCAGCTGCCGGAACAGAGCACCGCAGACCCAGCAGGGTGAACAACGGACATCCCCCACCGCACCCCCGCCGCCCCGTTCTGGAGACGGGAAGTCCAAGATCAAGGTGCCGGCCACTGGTGCCAGGAGAGCACCCTCCTGGCTTGCGGACGGCTGCCCGCTCTCGAAGTTCTCACTCGGCAGAGGGGGGGCGGCCAGGAGAGAAGGCTCTGTTGTCTCTTCCTCTTCTTAGAAGGCACCAGCCCTATAGGGCCCCACCCTTATGACCTCATTTACCTTAACTACCTCCTGAAAGGCCCTGTTCCAATACAGGCACACTGGGATTTAGGGCTTCGACTTGTGAATTTGGGAGGGGCACAGTTCCGTCCATAGCTGGGTGATTTCACCGTCTTTGGAGACCCCCGCACCCCCACCTGTGCCCTCTGCCCAGCCCGGAGGCAGAGGGCGTGCTCGGCTCTGGGAGGGGACGCGGGAAATCAGCACCATAGCTGGTTGGAGCCAGAGACGGGGGAATCCTGTAGATACACAAACTATGGCAACTGGAACCCCAAGCCAAATATTTTTGCCATGTCTGCGGGAAGTCTTTGGGTAGCCAGCTCTGAAGTTCATTTCTTTTTTTTTTTTTTTTTTTTTTTTTTTAATTTTTTTAAAAAAAAATTTTTTTTTCGACGTTTATTTATTTATTCTTGGGACAGAGAGAGACAGAGCATGAACGGGGGAGGGGCAGAGAGAGAGGGAGACACAGAATCGGAAACAGGCTCCAGGCTCCGAGCCATCAGCCCAGAGCCCGACGCGGGGCTGGAACTCACGGACCGCGAGATCGTGACCTGGCTGAAGTCGGACGCTTAACCGACTGCGCCACCCAGGCGCCCCTGAAGTTCATTTCTAAACCTCCTCATGTGCCCCGAAAGAGAAGCAAAACCAAAGAAGCAATCCACTCAAGCGTGGCGGGTAGGACGGAGACTCTGGGGCAGGTGCTGGCCAGCTACGTTCCCCTGGACCGGCCCTGTGCCTTGTGCATGGCCCTGGACACCGTCCTTCTGTTCTTCCGTCCTCACGCGTGAACCAGAAGCAACAGAGAGGCACCTCCGGAGTTGGTGCCCGCCGAGCCTTGGATCCTACTGCTTGGTGAACGGACAGGCCTGGCCCACACCGCACCGCAGCCACTCTCTTCTCCCACCCCCGGGGTGGGACGCAGCATCCGGAAAGGGGTCGCCAGGGTGTTTGAGGTCACCTGCCACACCGAGAGCAAAACCTGCCCATTCACGCAAAGCACCGGGTGTCGGGGGACAGCGGTACCGTGGGCTGAACTGTGTCTCCAAAAAGATACAGCCACGTCCTATCCCCCAGTACCTGCACATGTGACTGGATCTGGGGAGAGGGTCTTTGCCGATGTGATTAAAGATGTCAGGATGAAATCACCCTGGACTTACGGCGGCCCTAAACCCACTGATAGGTGTCCTTATGGAGAACGGAGGGAGAGTTGGGACACACAGACACACAAGGAGAAGGCCATAAGGCCTCAGGGAGGCAGAGGTCCGGCCGTGTGCCTGCAGGTGCAGGAAGGCCAGAGGCGGCCACCGAGCCCTGGAAGCGAGGAAGCAGAGAGGCCTGGACAGGTGTCCCTCAGTGCCAGAGGGATTTCAGGTTTCCAGCCTCCAAAGAAGGAGAGAAGAATGGGCTGCTGTTTTAGCCACCCAGCCTGCGGATTTCTTCTGGTAGCCCAGGAAGCCAGCAGCCATGGCGAGGCCGACCAGCACCTTCCCCTGGGGCTCCTGGCCGAGAGGGGAGCTGGCCATCCTGGGGGCTCGCGGAGGGCCCCTCCCTCCAGACATCGCAGCAGCACGTGGACACTGAGCGAGCAGAGGCTCCCTGGGGAAGCCAAGTGTGGGAGATGTGGAGTTTGTTGCTGGACACGCTCTCTGCGGGGTGGCCCTTGCGTTTCTTAGAAACAAGGCAGTATGCGTCCCCCTCGCCAGCTGTGCCGGCCAGAACCGGGGCTGACGCTCCAGTCCTTGACAGTGTGCATTCCGAGATCTCCTGGCCCCCAACCTAGCCTGCTGTCCCCAGCACCCTCCTGGCTGCAGCTCGCCCAAGGGAAGCACCATCAAAGCTTGACCTCCTCATGGATCCCACCGTGGCTGCAGCTCCTGCCAGGTGTGGAGAGGGACCTCGGGGCACCTGGACCCAGCAAGGTGGGTGGCTTGGTGGAGACAGAGAAAAACCCCCATTCTGGCCGAGACATTCAGAATGTGTGACAAAGTCACCATGAAAACAACTCAGCTTTTAGAAACTGCAGAACACTCCCTTTCCAATTCTCCAAATCCTGCTTGCCTTAAAGCCATCATGTTTTGGGGAGCCTGGGTGGCTCAGTCAGTTAGGCGTGTGACTCTTGATTTCGGCCCAGGTCGTGATCTCCAGTTCGTGAGTTCGAACCCTGAGTCAGGATCTGCACTGACAGTGCGGAGCCTGCTTGGGATTCTCTCTCTCCCTCTCTCTCTCTCTCTCTCTCTCTCTGCCCCTTCCCCAATTTCTCTCTCTCTCTCTCTCTTGCTCTCTCTCTTTCCCTCTCCCTCCCTCTCTCTCTCTCTCAAAATAAATAAACAATTATTTTTAAAAAGCCACATCTGGAAGCCTACCCTCTTGGTCCCTAGCCCCCCATCCTCTGGGAAGGGTGTTTCTCTGTCCACGTCGCCCCTACTTCCGCCGTGACCTGCCCAAGTCAAAGATTAAGGGCCGCCTCTGCGACATAACATCTGATAGCTCTCAGGCGGATCCCTAGGGGCCACAACAGCCCCCCAGCGCTACGCAGCCTCGGATGCAGCTCTGGTCCCTTTGGGGAGGGAGAGGTCTCGCCCAGAGTGCACTGTCTCTGGAAGACGAGCTCGGCCCACGGCCCCTGCAGTCGGGAATATTCTCTGGGCTACGCACTAGCCTCCAACAGTCCAGCTCTGAGCTCCCACCCTTGGGGCTCCCATACAGGATGTGCCTGGCCCCTCGTGCCCCTGACCGCCGCTTCCATCAGAGGCAGATTTCGTAAAACCCTAAACCACAACATCGGGAAGATAAGGTAAGCATCCACACTCCCCTGTCCTCCGCGGGAAGAGAAGACAAACTGGTTTCATCTCACCCCGCGCACTGTGCGAGGCGCCCCGGTTCGAAGGCCCCGTGTGGCCACTCTGCCACCTGCTGACGGGAGGGGAGCATCCTGTCAAAGTCCCTGGAAAGAAGTCTCGCACGCCCAGGGGGACCCGGCCGGGAGCCGCCTTCCCCTGCCCGATGGCCAGCGTGCGCACGTGTGTGGAGAGAGCGTTTCTGTCGGGGCATGGTCGCTGTGTGCACACATACTGCCCATGTGCCCCGGCAGAACTGTGTCCCCCGAACAGATATGTTCAAGTCCTGACCCCGCTCCCGCGAGTGTGGCCTCGTTTGGAGATAGGGTCTCTGCAGATACAGCAGGTCAAGATGAGGGCATGGGGTGAGTTCTCGTCCAACAAGACACACAGGACACAGGGGACACGGCCATGTGACAACAGACGCAAAGGTTGTGGGCATGAGGTCCCAGGCAGAGGGACACCGAGGACTGCCAGCCACCGCCAGACGCTGGAGAGGCCAGGGC